GCTTCTGGATCCACCGGAAAGTAACATCTCACCCATCTGGGGTGCTTTGGTGAATACAACTAATTGTTTTTTCCACAAGATGTTCTGGGATAAGGGCGCCTGGGTGGCTCAGTTGGTTAAGCGACTGCCTTCGGCTCAGGTCATGATCCTGGAGTCCCGGGATCGAGCTCGGCATCGGGCTCCCTGCTTGGCAGGGAGTCTGCTTCTCCCTCTGACCCTCCTCCCTCTCATGCTCTCTCTCTCTCATTCTCTCTCTCTCTCAAATAAATAAAAATAAAATCTTTAAAAAAAAAAAAAAGAATATCTCTATCCCAAATAAAACTCTTATATGTATATTGGGCTGTGATATTCTTAAACATGTCTATCTTATTCCTATGCTATGAAGTATTTTTAAATTCTGCCCTTCCAATCTTTTATCTTGTCAGAATCCCATTTTTGGCCCATATTCACACATATCTATTTAGTTACTTTCATTACTACGCAACAGTGCCACTCCATCTTGGGCATTTCAACCAGAACTGCCCTCACTGTGATTTTGCACATGATGAAGTTCATGAATCTCATTCTAAGACTATATTATCAAAGTATACTAAGCTGCCTGATATACAATTGACCCTTGAACAACGTGGGGTTAGGGGACAAACCCCTGCCCCTGCACGTGCAGCCAAAAATCCAACTACAACTTTTAACTCCCCCCAAATTTAATTATTAATAGCCTACTGTTGACTGGAAGCCTTACTGTTAACATAAATAAACAACACATATTTTGTATATGTGTTATATACTGTATTCTTACAATAATACCTTTTTCTTAATTTCTTCAGTATTTCTAGGCTTCACGGTTCATCTGTGTGTTTTTTCAAATTGTTGCGAACCTTCAAGTAACTTTCCAGTATATTTATTGAAAAATATCTGCATACAAGTGTACACATTAAGCTCAAATCTGTGTTGTTCAAAGGTCAAATGCATTCATAAAATGATCTTTAAAGACTCATTTTCAACAAGGGTCTTTCCTGGGTTATAACTGAAAGCTTACAGATTAATATTAAGTAATTTATTCATTCAATCAATATCTGAATGCTTTCTTTTTGTTCAAAAGGCCCTTTAAGCAACTGAAGTCCAACAAAAAACAGATAACAAATCCAATTATGAAAATCCCCCAAGCTCTGTACTGGGATGGAGATATTCAGAGGGTGTCAGGAACAGAACTTAATTAAACCTAGGATGGTTAGTAAGTTATCCCAGAGGGTCTAAGCCTTGAGCTGAATCTTTGAGAAATCATAGTAGTCACTCAAATAGAAAGGTTCAGAATGTGAAAAGGCAGAGATAAATGAGGGAAAAACAGAATATCTATCATCAGGAGTTTGTTATGGTTAGGGCTGAGAGGAAAGAAAGGAATGGTGGCGGATAAGGATAGAGAAGTAGGTAGGCAGGGATCATATCCTAGAAAGCCTGACCAGCCAAGTAAAGGACTCCAAAATTTGAACAATGTAACATAATGCAGTTTCCTAAAATATAGGAGAAAAAAATATAACTAGCACATCACAACAAATCCACATTTTCATAGACATTACTGCTTACAATATAAAAGATATAATGAAAAACACTAGAGATCTAATGAAAAATATTGAATAGTATAAAGATACATGGCAAAATTATAAAGGTGATATCCAAATTAACTAAATTTGGAAGATAATAGCATAGTAATTGACTGCCCAGAGGATTTATGACAAACCTTAGGCCTGGTGGGCTCTATCATTTATCTATACCACAGTTTCCATGTCTGTAAGAATAAGAATCATATAATAGCTCCCTCATATTAATTCAACACAGTGGGGCGCCTGGGTGGCTCAATTGGTTAAGGGTTCAACTCTTGATTTCGGCTCTGGTCATGATCTCAGGGGATCTAGGCCTGAGTCTGGCTCTGCACTCAGTGGGGAGCCTGCTTGAGGATTCTCTCTCTCCCTCTCCCTTTGCCCCTCCACTCGCTTGCGTACTCTCTCTCTAAAATAAATAAGTAAATCTTTAAACAAAAACAAAAATAATTCAATAGAATACTGTTAAAATTTAGTGGGGGGGGGGAGGAAGCACGTGAAACACTTAGCACATGGACAGCAAAATGGCTAAACTCCCTCAGCTTGAATCCTAGCACTATCACTGACTAGTTCTGAGATTTTGGGAAAGTTATTAGGAGAACATTCTCCACCTTATATAACTGTTTTGAGAAGTAAAAGTCATTGAGTTTAGAAGAATGCCTGCAATACCTGTTAATTAAGGTATGTTAGCTGTCACTAAAAAGAAAAAACTCTGTTGGAGAATCTCATTTGCATTTTAGAAAGGGAAGGTTATGAAGTTATTTCAACAATTCAATCAAGAACCAAGTTATGATGGAGTGGATAGAGTTAGAAGGTATTTAAGAGAAGACTCAACTGGACTTGACAACTGATTATGCAAGGGAAAAAAGGAAAAACAAAACCATAAGAGAAAAAGGTCAAAGATTTTCAGATTTTATTTAAAAAAAATGAATTGTTATGGCATTTGAGACTCAGTAAGAGGTACAAACTTTTTGTGGAGTAGAAGTTTTGGAAATATTAAGTGGGAGATAGCTGTGAACATCAAGGTGGAGCTATCTAGCCAACCTGATATGGTTTAAAAAAAGCCTAGAGAGAATTTTGAAAATAGTTTTGTTTTTACTTTTGTTGAAGCTCTCTATAAAATTGCCCATAATGAATTCATCTGCCAATCATTGGCATTTCTGACATTCACAGAGTTTAACCACAGTGGCTTCCCTTTTTACTTCCTTATAAACTTAATCTTAGCTTTTCACCAGAGGCCCTCAACTCTGCTAAAGAGTTAAGTGATTATAATACCAAATGACTTTAATTGGCAGCCCCATTATTTACATTTGCCCACCAAGAAGAATCCATTTATCACAAAACTATGTTTCCTTTTTAATCTAGTTCTCTATCCATAGCAAAACCTTCCTCCATAATCCCAGAAAAGACGAGTACACTGTATTGTTCCTCTTGTCTTCCCCCAATCCTTTTTAAACACTCATATCTAATCCTGACTAAAACATACTAAGTCACCAAAAGGAAGACAGTAATTTGGAATTACTTTCTAATTCAATTACATTTTTAAAATAGTACAGAGACTATTTTGAGGAAAAAAAAAAATTTAAATCTTTCTTACCTGATGCCCCTATATTTGCCTTATCTTCAGGAACCTGATTTTTATCCTTATTTAAATCTTCAACTAAAAGCTTGTCAAAATGTTCAATACAAAGCCTGCTGTCGATTTGATATAATAAAGCAGGGCAAAGATATGTAAATAAATCAGGTGAGATTGGAGAATTGGCACCATGACCATAGTATTTTAACAACTGAGTGACGTTCAAACACTGCAAAAAATTGATAAAACAAATTAAGTAAACAAGTATTTTAAGAAGATTAAGCAGAAAAAGAAATTACTGTATAATAAAAAATATTCTAAATATGATTTGAAAATAACCTGTAATACAGATATCTATTACAAATAAAGCTTTTCATTGAGAATTTATGATAGAAATACATTCGACTTCACTACCCAAGACTTAACATGGACTTTTAACCATTTTCCACTCCAACACATGAAAGATTATGACTTTCTCAATAATAAAAATCACTCACAACTATATTCATAAAGGGTGAAGAGAAAAATCACTTTCCTATTCAAAGTGCAATCATCAACCACTCAAGATTATTAAATAGGCATAGAGTACTTTAACAACTTTATATTAAAGTATACAATAGACATTTTCACTGCCTAAGGTACCCCAGAAAAATATTATACTGGGGAACTCTAGCCCAATGCTAAATTGGAAGATAAAAGCTTCATCCACGGGTACATTTAAGTACAAAACAAAACAAAGCAGAAAACAAATAGCAAACAAGTTTGGACCTATCATATAGCAAATATCTAAAATGAAGGTGAAGGAGAGAGTGCCTTTTTCCCCACACATCACATACACTTTGGTTGCATGCTTATTTACTGACTTGCTACCTCACTGTATGATTTTATTTATGGTAAAAAAACAAACAAAATCAAAACATTCAAACAAGAAAAGTATTCTTCTCAGGTCTTAACATGAGGTACTACTCTATCCAATGCATAGAATATTTCTAGAAATCCTGAGAAAATTCCCAATATGCATCAGACCTGTCAGGATATAAAACAACATGTCTGATACAGACCCCATAAGTCTGACAGAAAGAGTAACATTAATGATAACGTCCAGTTATAATCAACAGAAGATTCTAGGATATTATCTATGGTAGTAAATAAATAAAAGCATTTCCTTACAGTACACTAAGATTCTAAAATATAAGTGATTTTAAAATCTGTGCTGCTGAAAACCAGTATCTGATTATTTACACAGAGAAGAAACACAAAGATATTTCCATAGATGCAAAATATACTTCAGTAATAGAGACAGAAACAGAAAGGGTGAGGTCATTTTCCCTATTAGATGGTACTGCTTTTTATACATGTGAGCAACAAATAAATTCAACAATTTTCCAAACTTTAGTAAGAATTAGAATTAAATAAGGATGTTGATATACTTTTAATGAAACAAAAACAAATATGTTTAAGGTAAATAATTAAAAAAAATTGGGAAGGAACCAATCAAATGTGAAAGTATTCAAAGGAATATGAAAATGTTAAAGGAAAACACAACCATCCCATTACTAGTGGACTTTCCTATTATTGTATCTTTTTGCATTCACCCTACATCTGTCAAAGGCATGAGAAAAGATTAATTTTGAGGAAGTAGGCCCTACAATAAAGTGACATAGAGAAAACAAACCTACCACATATATAAAATAACTGACTTTGGAGCTACATCAACGACTGGGAACCATTCTGTAGTTAACTCATTAAGTAATTATGAAAAAGAAAATGCCTCTTTTCCAACAGGACAGGTGAACAAAAAGGGCTTCAACTTTCGAATATCTAGAACCAACTAGCAATAACAAAATGAAAACTAACTTGGGAAGTCAAAACAAGTCATAAGCAAGGAAGTAAAATAAGGAGTATATGTTCTAACAACCTTTAAGTATTTAGATTTGAGGAACCCAAATTTGAGAACACTGCAAGTGAAAATCCAGATAAAATCTTTTAATCTGATTTTAATTTCTTAATGAATTTTGTTCAGGAACATTATCTGGAAATAAATTTGAATATGATTGATTATTCTCCACTGTTACTTCTCTTTTTACCTAAAGTGCTCCACAATTATCTGAGAACTATGGAGCAACCATCTCTTTACACCTACCTCATGTTGACGGTCATCTTCATTATGATCTTTGTGAGGAGCAGCTGAATAAATTGCACTTTTTTTAACGTGTGGTGCTTCTCGCTTTCTAGTATGTCGAAGTTCACCTTCATTATCAGGATTAAGATCTTGGTGTCCATGACCAGGATCATGACCATTATGTTCTGGAAGGCGTACATGAGAATGACCTGGGTTATGTACACGATCAGGTTTATGAACCCGATTATGCTCATACTGTTCACCCTGATCATGGTTGGGGGGAAAACCTGGTGTAATAACCTCAGAATTTTCATTACTTTTCTTCCCTTTTCTCTTCCTCTTTCCTTTCGGTAGCTTACTTTCAGACTGTTCCTGTGTTTTATTGGTCTCTGTTGAAGGTTCATGGCTAGGCTCCCCACGCTCACTGTGAGCAATGGAATCATTAGGAAAATGGCGAGTGGTGTTATGATCAAGGTGATGATGCAAACAATGGTGATGACATAAGCGATGACTATGGTCATGCATATGTTTATCATCAGATTTGACAGATACTTCAATTGTCTCTTTCTCTGGATCACACTTATGGTTTCTTTTTGATACACTAGTCACAGTTTGATTTTCTAAATTTAAATGATTGTGGGAATGCTGGTGGTTATGGGAGTGAAAATGCTTTCCCTCTTGAACTGCCAATATATCTAAGTGAGAAACATGATCATGGCCAAGATCCTCATGATTAATCTCAACTACTTTTATCTCTCCAAGGCCCAAGTTTGTTAAAAGTTTCTCCAGACCAAAAAAGGATAATCTTCCATTTTCACCATAACGGTCAAAAAGTTTTTCAATATAATATTTTTTTTCATTTTCAGCATCCAGCACTGAAAATTTGCTTGACTCCGATTCTGTCATTCCACGACGATGTCTGTGATGTTCTTCAGAACCATGGTCATGTTCTTCATGGCAATGGTTGCAATGATGGAAAATAAATGTCAGCAAACAAATGAGGCAAAATTTTGTGTGCATATGTACCTTCATTTCTATTTTTCCTAAAGGGATTTAAAAAGAGAAGCAAGCATTAGTTCATACTTAGATACATTCAATATGATCATAAACTCTCCAGCAATTGCCAATCCATGAGGCAATTGTTTTACCACATTTCTTTTCAGTGCTATAAATCATTCTTTCCTCCTTCAATTCCATATAAAAATGGCCCCTTTTAATTTATCAAAATAGTGTACAGCCCTTCATATTAGTACAAATTGCTCATGACTCCATCTATAGACTATCCTGACTCCCTTTAAGCATAACACTTAAGAATCTACTATATATTTATGCAGAAACTGTTGGCTTCCTTCTTATCTGGTCCTTTACAAAAGCTTGCTGATCCTTGTTCTTGAGGTCCTGGTCAGTGCAGTAAGACAAGATGAAACAGAATGGTAAAATGTATAAAAATCAGAAAGAAATAAAAATATCATTATTCACTAACGGCAGGATTGGGTATGTAGAAAATCCAAAAGAATCTATAAGTTAATTTAGTAAAACTGCCATATTAAGGACAATAACCTGAAATCAATTTTATTTCTATATACTAGTAATAATTAGAAAGTGAAATTAGAAAACATTATCATTTACAGTACCAACAGCTAGGAATAAATCTAACAAAAGATGTGCAAGACCGGGGTGCCTGGGTGGCTCAGTCGTTAAGCGTCTGCCTTCAGCTCAGGTCATGATCCTAGGGTCCTGGGATCGAGCCCCGCTTCGGGCTCCCTGCTCAGCGGGAAGCCTGCTTCTCCCTCTCCCACTCCCCCTGCTTGTGGTTCCCTCTCTCGCTGTGTCTCTGTCAAAAAAAAAAAAAATGTGCAAGACCTTTACATAAATAAAAGATCATATATTACTGAGAGAAATGAAAAGACCTAAATAAATGAATGGCTATATCATGTTCATGACTGGATGTGATATAGATCCAATATAATATCAATGAAAATCCCAGAAGAAACTGTGAAAATTGATGAAGTATTTTTAATATTTATGTGGAAAAAGGAAAGTCCAAGAATGGTCAAGACATTCATGAAGAACAAGATAGGAGCACTTACTCTACCAGCTACTAAAGACAGTGAGGTATTTGGTGGAAGAAGAAACAAATATACCAAAGAAACAAAACAGAGTCTAAAAATAGTAAACATTCTCTTTTCCTTGGTGCTTGGTCAATTTGATTTCCATTTGGAAGAAAAAAATAAATAAAACTTGACCCCTACCTAACACCATATATAAAAATCAATTCAGACAGATCATAAACCTAAAAAACAATAAATGTTAAGGCAATAAAGTGTCCCAAACTGTGCCATTCAATATTGTAGCCACTACCCATATATGGCTGCTTAAATTTAAACTAACCACATTTAAAATTCAGTTTCTCAATCACCTTAGCTACATTTTAAATGCTCAACAGACACTTTCAGCTCACGGCTACTATACTGGACAGTGTAAATACAGAATATGTCCATCATCACAGAAAGTTCTATTCGACAGCACACTTCTAGAATACAGAAATGCACGAGTCAATTAATTTTAAAATGTTCTAGAATAAACAGGTCAAAGTCATTTTCATGTTGCATTTTATTTAACTCACTATAAATGCAAAATATTATCATTTCAACATGTAATAAATATAAAAATATAAAAATTATTAGTGAGATTTTTACATTCTTTTTTAATACTATTTCATTGAAATCCAGCATGTATTCTACACTTACAGGACATCTTAATTCAGACTAACCACACTTCAAGTGCTCGATAACCACACGTGCTAAGAGCTACTATACTGAAAAGTGTAGATCTGGAAGATTTGGGAGACTAGCTTCAAGACGTTCAAAATAGAACATAAAAAACATAAAGGGAAACTGATAAAGTATACTACAATTAAAATTAAGGAATTTCTGTTCATCAGGAGATATCACTAAGAGATTAAAAAGGCAAGGGGCCCATGGGTGGCTCAGCTGGTTGAGCGTCCAACTCTTGGTTTCAACTCGGGCCATGATCTCAGGGTTGTGAGGTGGAGCCCCATGATGAGCACTGGGCTCAGCGGGAGTCTGGTTCCCCTCTCCCTCTTTCTCTGCCTCTCCCACTGACCGATCGTACACTCTCTCTCTCTAATTTTTTTTTTAAAACAAAAGGGCAAGCCACAAATCTTTAAAACAAAAATGGGGGAGAGGGGCACCTGGCTGGCTCAGTAGGTAGAGCATGTGACTCTTGATATTGGGGTTGTGGGTTCGAGCCCCACATTGGGTATAGAGATTACTTAAAAATAAAATCTGAAAAAAAAATTAAAAAGGCAAGCCACAGACTGAGAAAAGATTATCACAATATCATCAGTCAAAAATACATAAGGAGGGTGCCTGGGTGGCTCAGTCGTTAAGCGTCTGCCTTCGGCTCAGGTCATGATCCCAGAGTCCTGGGATCAAGTCCCACATCGGGCCCCCTGCTCGGCAGGAAGCCTGCTTCTCCCTCTCCCACTCCCCCTGCTTGTGTTCCTGCTCTAGCTATCTCTCTCTCTGTCAAATAAATAAATAAAATCTTTTAAAAAAAAATACATAAGGAATTTCTACAAGGCAATATGAAAATTATGAGATAATTCAATAGAGAAATGGACAGGAAGTCTGAACAGACACTTCATAAGAAAACAGCCAAATTACTAAGCATATAAAGAGTCTCAACCTCAACAGTTACCAGAGAAATATAAATTAAAATCACAGTTAGGTACTACTATATACCCACCAGAGTGAATAAAATACAAAAGATGTAGGTTAAGAATATGGAGTTAACTCAAATTTGAATGCACTACTGGTGGGACTGACCATACACTGGTATCTTTTGGAAAAATGTTTGACAGGATCTCCCAGAAGCTGAACATAAGCATATCCACTCACACAGCAATTCTAATCCTGGGTATATGTTCAACAGAAATGCATGCACAGTGACATCAAAAGACACAAACATGAAAGTTAGCACAATCATCATTCATCATAGCTTAAAACAGGAAAAAGGCCAAATGTTCATCAAATGTCGAATGGACAAACAGAATAATCTTACAATGGAATATGACATAGGAATGAAAATGAAATTATGGCTTCCCACATCAACACAAATAAATCTCATAAACAGACTGTGCAAAAGATGGCAAACATTAGACTGTGCAAAAGATGGCAAACACTAAAGAGACCACCACAGACAAAGCATATAATAAGCAATATGTATTTATATAAAGTTAAAAATGGGTAAAACTAAACCAAAACAATGACTTTTTTTTTAATATTTTATTTTTAAGTAATCTCTACACCCAACATGGGGCTTGAACTCACAACCCCGAGATCAAGAGTCACATGCTCTTCCAGACTGAGCCAGCCAGCGCCCCAATGATGACTTTTTGAAAGGATGGTAGAGGGTAATAATTGGATTTGGATAGTGAAGTAACATTCTTTTCTAAGTAATGGTTACACAAATATGCCTACTTTGTGATAATTCATTGTATTTATACTCTGTGTACTTTTCTATATACATACTGTATTTCAATGACAAAGCTATTTTTTTATTTCTTTAAAGATTTATTTGAGAAAGAGAGTGCACGCACATGACAGCATGAGCAGGGGGAAGGGGGAAGGGGCAGAGGGAGAGGGAGAAACAGACCCCCACTGAGCAGGGAGCCTGATGCCCAACTTGATCCCTCCTGGGATCATGACCTGAGTCAAAGGCAGACGCTAAACCTACTGAGCCACTGAAGCAGCCAGTGAAAAAGTTTTTAAAAATACAATTTTCGGGGCGCCTGTGTGGCTCAGTCGTTAAGCGTCTGCCTTCGGCTCAGGTCGTGATCCC